CATCATCATCTTTCTCCACAGCTGCTTCTGGATTGAAGCTGTCAGTCAGTGTCAATGAGCCTGGAAAGTAGATGTTCGTTGGCATACATCATTTAGAGTCAGAGGTGTGTGGCTTTGCAACGGTCTGGTAGACCTAGGCGCACGTCCCTGGCTGGCACCTCTGACAGCCAGAAAAGACGCGCCTGAATTAGCCATCACCTACGTCATCTCGTCCTCTCAGCGATCTCAGCAGCAGGCGCTGGACTTGCTCTTCTTCTTGCCCTTCTTGGTCTTCTTCTCTGGAGCGGAAGCGGAAGCCTTGGCGGGGAGGGCAGACATGGCAGAAGAGCCGGTGACCACGAAGCTCTCACGAGCCTTGTCCGTCATGGAGTGGTGACCCTGAGGAGCTGTGTGACCCTCCGGGTGAGAAGTGATCACGAAGCCGGGGGGCAAGGCCTCACCGGGTGCGAACCACTTTCCCTGGCCGTGGTCCAAGTTGCTCCCAGCTGGCATCATGCTCGCAGCAGGCATCGCAGCGGGCGTGTAGGTGGCCGGCATGCTTGCGGCCGGCATGGCCGGCATGCTTGGCATCGTGTACCCTCCCGTGTAGGGCGACGCTGCGCTGTAGGCCACGGGCACACCAGCATCTGGCTGAAAATTGTAGGCCGGGTACGCCATGGGCTCGACCTAGCTTACAGTACAGTTTGCCTTCTTGCTGGGTGCACTTTGGGCCAGAGATCAGCTGCAAGGCCAACGTGCAAGCGCGCAATGGTCTTGTCAGCGAAGAAATGTCCCAACCCACTGGCAAACTGCGGGAAGCTCAGAACTCCAACAACAGCTTTACAACAGCTTTCGGCGTGAAGCGTCGAGGTGCCTAAAACCAAAATGGACCAGCCTCTGTAAGAGGCGGGTTCAGCCACGTCATCTTCCAGCCACACATCACCTCAGGCACAGAAGGTCCAGCAACAGAGTCGCCCGTTTTGACTTGCATTCAGTCGTACTCCTACGCAGAAGAGAAGATAACAGAATCCACAATAGATCCATCCATGTTGAAGATTGTTGAAGCATGTGAAGCAAGCCCATGCGCTGAGGGTGGAGCTGCCACTTGCGGGCCATCCTGCGCAAGGACCCCTTGCAAGGACCCTTGCTGTCTCCAGGCCCAGACTCTGGCTCTAGTTTTGGGAGCACATGAGCAGCATGAACACATCATCATGGGAACTTCAAGCCTACCAGGATTGCAAGTGGCCAAACTTCACAATCTGGTGCCAGCAGCTCGCCGGGCAATCCGAAAGTCCCTCATATGTAACTTGGAGCAATGTCCTTCCGGAGCATCAAAAGCAGCTACCCCGAAAGCCCACAATGTCCTACCAGGTCGCTAAGTAATCTGCAGAAAGCATCGGACTCTACTGCCAGAGCTCCATTCAACAATGCGAACTCCTGACCTGCAGCTCTACCTAGCAGAACGCAAAATCCTGGGGAAATTATTCAACAAACCTCCTGGCAACCCATGCCGAACTATGTACAGTTGCTGCAAACCCGCCGCATGTCTTCTACGATCCACAGCGGTTCATCGCTTGCAATTGCAATCGCAAATCCCACGCGTGGCACTTCCACCCTTGAACCGACTTGAACCACAGGCTGTAGCAGCAGAAAAAACATGATACTAGCATTACGATCAACTTTAACTTCCACACGCAACAGCAGCACAAGTCCAAGATACCAACAGATATTGCTAATATTGCAGCTTACCCGAGCGGCTCCTTGTCCCTGGTGACACCGCCGACGCCTGACGCCTGGCATTCCAAGACCCAGGCTCGATGATGTCACTGCGGAGTTGAGCGTTTTCACTTCGGAGGCGCAGGAAGGCGTGGGTGGCACGGCACTAAACATGGAAATTTATCATCAAGGACAAGCATATATGTCATTGCGAATGCCGAGAAGCGCCGCACAGCTGCCTTTTTCGCCGCCTTTTCCTTCCCGCTGCTTTTTGGATTGTGGCAAGTCAATGTTCGTTGGCACCAATGGCATTTAGAGGCGTGTGGCTTTTGCAACGGTCTGGTAGACCTAGGCGCACGTCCCTGGCTGGCACCTCTGACAGCCAGACAAGATGCGCCTGAATTAGCCATCACCTACATCATCTCATCCTCTCAGCGATCTCAGCAGCATGCGCTGGACTTGCTCTTCTTCTTGCCCTTCTTGGTCTTCTTCTCTGGAGCGGAAGCGGAAGCCTTGGCGGGGAGGGCAGACATGGCAGAAGAGCCGGTGACCACGAAGCTCTCACGAGCCTTGTCCGTCATGGAGTGGTGACCCTGAGGAGCTGTGTGACCCTCCGGGTGAGAAGTGATCACGAAGCCGGGGGGCAAGGCCTCACCGGGTGCGAACCACTTTCCCTGGCCGTGGTCCAAGTTGCTCCCAGCTGGCATCATGCTCGCAGCAGGCATCGCAGCGGGCGTGTAGGTGGCCGGCATGCTTGCGGCCGGCATGGCCGGCATGCTTGGCATCGTGTACCCTCCCGTGTAGGGCGACGCTGCGCTGTAGGCCACGGGCACACCAGCATCTGGCTGAAAATTGTAGGCCGGGTACGCCATGGGCTCGACCTAGCTTACAGTACAGTTTGCCTTCTTGCTGGGTGCACTTTGGGCCAGAGATCAGCTGCAAGGCCAACGTGCAAGCGCGCAATGGTCTTGTCAGCGAAGAAATGTCGCAACCCACTGGCGAACTGCGGGAAGCTCAGAACTCCAGCAAGCGCAGATGCAAACACATGCAGCCGACCAGCCTTTGTAGAGGGCAAGGTCCTTCAGCCGGGATGCCTTTAAAAGCCCGGGGCTAAGGGTGTCTGAGTGACATGCAGCTGACATTTAATTACTACAGACGGGCATACTGGATGCAATTTCTGCAAATGCAAGCTCCATGCCCGGCAGATACGCACAGAAAGCTTGTGCCAGGTCATGTACGTATAGTATTGCTGCGCAGGTCGGCCTGCATCGCTGCCATCTCCCAGGTCATGCAAGGACTTCCTCATTGATGTCCGCGATGCAAGGAAGGTAAAGACAGCTCAACAACTATTGCCAAAAAGTTGCATGAACACGCAGGTGCAATACCACAGCCATCGGCTCCAACAGATACACTGACTATGAGACCATGAGTAACAAGGCCAAGCTGTCCTCCCACTTTATCGATGCAAACGTGCTGGTCGTTGCCGGTCGTGGCAAGCTCCTCACCGAATTGCACGCTTTCAGTGTCTGTATTCTGTTAAGGTTGTTCTTCGGGCTCTGCTTTCTTGTCATTACGTTTGTCCTCCCTGTTTGCCATCAAATGTTCAATTTCTGGGAGTCTGGTCCAAACCCCCACCCCCCCCCCCCCCCCCCCCCCCCCCCACGGCCCCCCTCCCTCCCCCAACAAAAAATTCCCAAACATGTAGCCTTGACCCGGGTCACTGATATCTTCTTCGGCCAAGTCTGGATGGAGGACCAGGATTGCCTGCTCAGGAGCCACACATGCAAACATTAGTCTGCTGTAAACTAGCCTGCATGGTGAGTGGCGCCATGCAAGACACATTGGCTCCAGCGTGGCATTTTTATCAGCACCAGTGAGCCTGGCAAGTCGATGTTCGTTGGCACCTGTGGCATTGAGAAGGTGTGTGGCTTTTGCAACGGTCCGGTAGACCTAGGCGCACGCTTCCCTGGCTGGCACCTCTGACAGCCAGAAAAGATGCGCCTGAATTAGCCATCACCTACATCATCTCATCCTCTCAGCGATCTCAGCAGCAGAAGCTGGACTTGTTCTTTTTCTTGCCCTTCTTGGTCTTCTTCTCTGGAGCGGAAGCGGAAGCCTTGGCGGGGAGGGCAGACTTGGCAGCAGAGCCGGTGACCACGAAGCTCTCACGAGCCTTGTCCGTCATGGAGTGGTGACCCTGAGGAGCTGTGTGACCCTCCGGGTGAGAAGTGATCACGAAGCCGGGGGGCAAGGCCTCACCGGGTGCGAACCACTTTCCCTGGCCGTGGTCCAAGTTGCTCCCAGCTGGCATCATGCTCGCAGCAGGCATCGCAGCGGGCGTGTAGGTGGCCGGCATGCTTGCGGCCGGCATGGCCGGCATGCTTGGCATCGTGTACCCTCCCGTGTAGGGCGACGCTGCGCTGTAGGCCACGGGCACACCAGCATCTGGCTGAAAATTGTAGGCCGGGTACGCCATGGGCTCGACCTAGCTTACAGTACAGTTTGCCTTCTTGCTGGGTGCACTTTGGGCCAGAGATCAGCTGCAAGGCCAACGTGCAAGCGCGCAATGGTCTTGTCAGCGAAGAAATGTCGCAACCCACTGGCGAACTGCGGGAAGCTCAGAACTCCAACAAGCGCAGATGCAAACACATGCAGCCGACCAGCCTAGAGGGCAGGTCCTTCAGCCGTGACGTCCTCGAGCCTCTGCACCTGTTGAGGATGCTGGCATGCCAGAGAGACTATATCCGCTCTACCTTCGTCCAGCCTGCCGCCGCAATGAGGCTAAGGCGGCCAAAGGCAGCGTCACTGGCGAAACGCGCCATGACTCCTGCAAGGATTCTTGCCATCTCTGGGCCAAGGCTTTGAGGTGCTTGGAGTATTGTCCCTAGCACTGGCAGCCTGGGAACTTCGCCCAGAAGTGCAACAGCTGAGCATACGTTCTCGTGCCAAAGCCTTCTCTAAACAAGAAGCAATGTCCGATTGACTGCCCTGCCTGGCCTCCCAAAGCGACACCCAAAAGCCAGGGACGATCAAGCTCGAACCGAAAGGTCCGGCGCAACTGTCGCCCATGGCTATGCTTTCGATAGGAGATGGGGTGGTGAGCCCCTAATGAGAGACCCCGGCGGAATCTATGCCTTGCACGTCAAATTACTGCCCGGCAGAGGCCCGAGCCCGACGAAACCTGGACCTTGCTATAGCAGATGATAGCCCTAACTTTAACCCTAAACTCACACCCCTGCTACGGGGGCTCATCTCCATGCGCCAGGAAAGCTAATGAATCCCTAAAACAAAGCTGAGCGGAGCACCGTGGAGGATCGGGTGCAGCTGGGGCTCCAACTCCTGGCTGAGCAAAGGTTTTGCAGGTCTACTCTACTTGGCACATGGAACGGAACCACTGAGGCCGTTGTTGGACAAGAGCCCTTCACATGCCTTCACCGCAGCAAGCGCCGATTGCTCTTCCTCATGTTTCCCTGAAGAAGAAGCAGCTGCACAGCGCACAAGTACGAACGTTCGTTTTGCCCATCTCCTTCCACCTGTCAGCATGCTATACAGACTTCAAAAAGTTCATGGGACAAATTAGACCGTTGCGAGTGACTTCGCTGGTACTCCGGACGAAGCATGCATGTAATGAAGCACGTCACATGACTACAAAAGCCTCAAGCTTGAGGTCTTCGTCTTAGACATTTGCAAGCGGACGGGAAACCAAAGACCAAAAGCTTGACACGGGCCCGTCTAGGCACTCAAGTCGCCCAGCTTCGCTCTCAGAGGCAAGGATCCCAATGTGTCCCGGCAGCAGCTCGTGTTAAGCGCCCGAGCATGTCCGCAAAGGAGTGAGTTGTGTGGCTTTTGCTTCTCCGCCCCTTTGGGTTTGGGGTTGTACTGGTTGGGAGCCCTGCCTGGCTCAACCTTATAACGCCCTGACAAGCCATCACATGAGCCTTTACAGCCGACCCTACACGGGTCGGGACACGCTCGAGAAAAAGAACCACCAGAGCTTGCTGAATGCGGCCGAGCCTGAGGGGCATGTTTCCAGGCAGAGCCTTTGAACCTTCTCTCAGCTGCCCCAAGTTTCAGAGGCGAAGATGCCCCAAACCCCAAACGCCGGCAAATGTTGCCCCCCACGCATGCAGCCGGCGGTGCCGCTGCGATCGCGCAGAGCCGCCACAGAGATTTCAAAACCTACTGCGACTGCAGGCCAGAAGCCGAACAGCGCAAACCGGCAGACCTACAGCTCCGGTGAGGCTGGCCACGAGACCACGCTGACCAAGCTTGCTGCGATTTGCTGTGTCTACTCTTGACACATAACTCATCTGAACACAGCTGCAAGTGGCCCAGCTCTCGCACGGAGCAATGCCGAAAGGTTCCTGTTTACTGGGCATACAGGGCCTGGGCTTCACAAGCGCTTCCCCAATTCTCTACTGCTCAGGCTCTCCATTCGCTGCTCCATCCCCTTCACCGCTTAAAAGCAACTGAAAAAAAAAACTAAACCCTAACCCCTAAACCCTAAACCCTAAACCCGGCGAGCCCGAGCAGGCAGGCAAGTCATGCACATGCAAGGCATGCAAGGCGTGGATCGGCCCAAAATGGCCGTTAAACAGCCGGCTGAGCCCTCAGGAAGCAAGGTTTAGGATTCAGGGTTTTGGGTTTAGGGTTTGGGGTTTAAGAATAGAAGATCAGAGAACCTAGCTCAGCCTAGCTCCAGGACTGCACCCGAACTCCCTCATAACCTCAAGAAGCCTCAAGCTGCGATAAGCTGACAATTGCTGAGGCCCGGGGCCCTGGATGGCCCTGGGACGAAGGCTCAGCGGCTTCTCTTGCTCATGCGCGTCAGGCGCGCAGCAACCACAGACCTCCAGGCGGTCAAGAGGCGGTCAAGAGGCGTTTACAAACAGTGCAAACAGAGGCCGCAGCACGCGTCGTCTCTCTCTTCAACTCCGTGGAGTCCAAAATCTCTGCGCAGTGGAACCCACATATCAGGGGAGAAACCAGAAGCCTTACAAAAATAGACTCAGACATACGCGACAAGGGGCAAAAAAAAACAACCCTATGGAAACCCCATAAAGCCGCTTCCTCCTCGTGTCCCTTTAGGCGCCTCAGGGAGCCAGTCTTCTGGAGAGCAAAACTGCCTGCCAAGAGGCGTTCTATTTTGTTGAAGTGCTTCGATGCTTCACTCTATGCCCCTGGGCCCTATTAAGCACAGAGGAGGCAAGGCAATATTGGCCTACGTTTGTGAGGTCGCTGTCGCAGTTTGGGTTCACTCGAAGCAGTTTGGGGATTTTTAGGGTTGGAACTTTTTGGGGGGCCAGTGGTGGGCCACTGCAGTTGCAGGCCGCCGAAATCTTGTCATGTGCTGTGAGTTGCATGTCAAGGGTCCCAGTTGCATGTCAAGGGTCCCAGCAGAACAGCAGCCACAGAACCCTGAACATACTAACTTGTAGAGACATGTAGAGACACCGCGCCGCTGCAGCTTTTCCCCAGATACTGCGTCAAGTAGCTTCAATCGACTTGGCTAAGATCCAAACAGAGGCGAAAGAACCCATCACTGGACGGAATCTTTGCACATTGCTACAGCCAGGCATTTAGACACACGAGACGCACCCCTTTCAACAAATCATTCGCGGCAAGCGGCTCCATCCATCATCGATTTCTTCCAACCAGTCCTGCGGCATCTCTTGGGGACTCTGAAACTTTGTGACCGCAACATAATCATGTCATGAATACTTAAAACCAAATTACCCACGATCGGCACTATCTCCGTGGCTGCGTGAACCACAAGCCCTCTCAGTCTGGCATCAGACCTACCTGACTATCTGAAATTACATCGCATTTAACTCAGGCCCCCCTTGTCCCTGCCGGCAGTCCATCTCCACCTGATCTACCTCCGCGCGGGCAGCTGCTAGCGCCTGCCTTGTTGCTGGAAGGGGGCGCATTTCAGGCGGGCAAACCATCACAGCCACCTTCGCTGCAACAAAGCCTTGTGTCAGTTGAAGCCGGCCAGCCCCGCAAACCCATCGCGGCCCTTCCTTGTCCTCCACTCTGACTGTTCAAGGCTCAGCTATTCCCGAGGTCCAGGCTCGAGCCCGTGGTCCACGACTCTCTGTCCCAGCCTGCCGGAGGGCTTTTCCCAGAAGGGAGGGGGGGGGGGGGCGGGGGCAAAAAACAACCGACCCTCCGATTGCAAGCCGCTCATTGCATAAGCTGAAAAGCTTAGATTCACAGTTGCACTTTTCAAATGGCCCACCATACATGGACCAACCATGCTCACAAAATTTGGGCTCCGACAAGTCCGACATCTCTTGGGCATCCTCGGGCTCGATGGTATGCGGTATGGAGTGAACCACAGCGTCACCATGGGAAAGCATCGGAAAAGATAACAAACAGGAATACGCACGTGTTGGAGAGCTCCGACCACGCATGCTTCAAGAGTTTCCAACGCCACTCTCTGCTCGTACAGCATGCCACATCACTGCGCACGACGGCACACAGCACAAGCTCGCTGACTAGACATGTCTAGCTGTCTATATCCGTCGCATGGCAATATCTGTGCGCAAATGGCATGGTTTGATGATGTTTGATGTGGATTTGCGCATGGCTGGATGGAAGGGCGAATGCACGTGGCACGAGGTGTCAGGGCACCGTACGGGATGTATGCTGCATGTGGCAGGATGTGGCAGGCGTCGAACTCGTCCAAACCCTTCAAGCATAACGCGAGCCAAGGCTCCAGGTCGTTCAGGGCCTCGAGGAAGCCCAAGGCATACTGCTTGCAGAAGGTCCATGGCCTCGGCAGAGTCCATGCTACGCAAACCCGGCCCATGATTGAGAGGTGCTTGGTGCATTGGAGAAGATGCACCACGCAAAAGCCCGGACTTTGGGCTCCAAGGGCCTGTGGCCTGCGACGGGCGGATGCCAAGGCCCCAACCAAACGTGAGCCTGACGCACACGCCGATTGCAAGAGGCTTCTTGACTCTCCAGCAACTCTCTGTGCGGTGCAAGCTTGCCCTTCCTGCATAACATCGGCGAACTTGCCAGGGTCCAGGTGGCACAGCCTCGTAAGGTCCAGTCCGCCGTAAGCCAGGACATGATGGCAAAATGTAAAGTTCAATATTCTCATCCAGGAATCACCGGCTATCCACAACAACAGGGCTCAGCAACATTGTACTATCACATTATTGCTTCTTTGTTACATATACACATACACACACACACACTTTTTTTATGTATATATGTATATATCTCTCTGTGTTTGTATATGTATGCATATATACATACACTGATATGAGTTTTCCTTATAGTAGAAGAACAATGACCTGCATTGTGAATGTTTGCACTTTCTGAGCCGAGGACTCGCCGGACTTGACAGCCGTGAGCCTGCAGCTACCCAGAAGATGCCAGCTCTTGAGCAAAGATGAGCAAAGCATCTGGGCACAATCAGCCGCATGTGTTTAAAGATGTACCGGGAGAAGGGTGTGCATTTTAAGGTTTAGCAGGAGGCGATTTGACGAGCTTGATCCGCTCTTGCACAAAACACCACTGGCAGGCAGGCGGCCATTCAAACACGTTCGTACAGTGAGGTTCATTCTGCGCACACGTGACGATTGCAAATTTCGCCCTGCCCCCCTGGAACGTGGCTTTACCACCATCTTCGTCCCTATTGACATGTCTTTGCACCTAACCCTGCTTCGACCTTCAACCAAGGGCCCAACGTTCCCAGGTGTTGCCAGTCGGTCCACAGGCAGGGCTCCACCAGCCAGCGAAATTGGCCTCAGCTGTCTTTCGTACAAAGCTGGGTCTCATGCGATTCAACAGCTCCTTTGTGGCCACCATGTCAGCGCATCCCACCATGCGTCGTGAAAGATCTTGCCTTCTGCCTTAAGGTCTCTGTACTAGACATACATACTGTGCTGCCATGGCTTGCTGGAAGCTGATGTTTGAGTCCGTCCAGTGGTTCGTGATCTCGGAATGGCTGTGGAGTTAGGGCTGTGGAGTGATGCTGGAACCGCATGCGTGTAGTCTCGCACTGCATTGAACTCGGGCTGGCATGCCCAAGCTGCCTAACACGAATGTCATCCCAAAGCCCTGATGCTGAGCTCCTGTCATCGAGTCGGGCGTGAAACATGTGTTGGCAGCTCATGTTGACTGCAGACGGCTTCTTACCTTCAGAGAGGTGGCAACTTGCACACTGAACACCTGAGGTCGTCACATAGCTCTGTTGGCCTCAGGAGTAGGTCACTGTTGGGGGCGGCCGGGGCTTGAGGGACGACAGTGCGGCCACACATTATGGATCTATGAGGCAGAACTCACTCTCTCTGTCTCTCTCACACACACACGTCACACAAGCA